TGACGCTCGAGTGTGAAATTGTCAGTCACTATGTAACCTTTCTCTTCGCCTCTCTTTTTGCATCCCAATTAACTTAAAGCCACGCTCAACGTTCATTTTCTTCCTCTAATCAGACAAATTTTAAATACTAACGATCCACAAGAGAAAGGAGGGGGAAAATTGAAGGTGAAACGCTGCGAAGCTGGTGGAAAAATTACCATCGAACACGGTTAAATACGGTTTTATGAGGAGAGAGGGATGTCTGTTTACGTTAATAGTCTCAAAAGATGGAAAGAAAATTAATTAGATTTAAAAATTTATTTTTCGATCAATTTAAATTCGTTTTCGGCAAACGAAATTGCAAATTAATTTCTCATAATTTAATTAAATAATGGATAAAAATAAAGAATAATTAGGATTAAATCCACGTAATAAAAATAAAAATTCTATTCATAAACAAAATTAGTAGAACGTATTTATATCTTAAATCAAATTACCTTATAAAATTAATTGCAATGTATATTTGAATAATTTAATAATAATAAAAAGAATACGTTCATGGTTGCAATAATAGATTTTTTTCCAATAATAGAAAAGAATTATTTACGAGAATACGTTTATTTCCACATTAATAATTAATTTTCACATTTAAATCCATAAGAATATATTGGGACGAAGTATATTATAATCAATATGACCACACTATATATATCAAATAGAACATCCGTAACACGCGAAACACGATATGGGAGAGTCTGCTAATCGATGTCGGATTAATAGATTCGTGTTTCTCAAATGGACATGCATACATGGCCGTGGTATTACCTTGCTCGTAAAGGAGGCCAGTATCCGCGGGGATAATCGATGGTTACCTAGATCTTAATCAAAACTGACGTTTGTAATGGGAGAAGTCCAAAGTAGGAAGTCTGCGAATAGTAAATGGATTCTGCACAACTGCCATAACTACGAATAATACTTCGATTCGTGTATAGATGGATTCTTAATGAACTTCTTCTCGTTTCATTTATTTAAAATATTTCTCGTTAATATTCTGTAATTATTTTTTCATTATTATCATTAAAATTATTCATTCATATCATTAAAATTAATATTTATTTTCCGAAATTATTTAAATACATCAATACAAATTATTGCCACTTTGAATGGACAAACTTATTAAAATGGTTCAAAATCGTTGAATTTGAGAAAAGACAGCCGTTTCCTTCCTCGAGTCGTCACCGTTGAGATGAAATCCAACAGGAATCGTTCGATTTCACGGGATGAAAGGAATAAGTTTGAACGACGAGAGATGGCCAGGATCGAATCCCCTTCGTGAAGGAAACTTGGCCCGTTTGCACGGTGAGAATGAAGGAAGAAGGCGAGGAAATTACGTGTCAGCTGAGCATCAAAGATTCCGCTCATGCGAACAGACCGTAAAGACTTTTGCCATCTGTACAGACCGTCACGCGTGTCGATGCTATTAATAACTTTATGATTTTCCTTACTAACGCTTTAGATAATTGTATCGAAATATTCGAATAATTTATATTTTTTCTTATACAATCGTCACTAAAGGATCACAATTGTTGCTTTAACTATGCTTCCTTGCAAGCAGAATTGGATATAACCTAAAAAAAGTAAGTAGTTAAAAATTTCGAATAAAGTTACTTTAAGTAATTATATGAATAGTTACATTAAGTAATTACATTGAAATGTTTAAATAACATTTATTCATAGCTATTATAATTAATCCAATCTTCATATAACCTCATTCGTTTGACATTGCAATTATTTGAGATTATTATTATGTTTTATTTAATAATAATTATATATTATTATATTTATTATATATTATTTTTATTATAATTATATATTATTATATATTATTATATAATTATATATTTTAAATAATAAATTATTGAAGTAAGTTATCGAAGTAACTTTATTCGTAACTTCGACTATTAAATTTTATTTATCACTGCTCATAAGTATATCTTAATCTGTCTGGTATTTAAAAGATCAAAATTTATAAATTTATAAATTTATAATTTTATAAATTCTTGGAGAGAAGATAAACCTTCTCGAAATAAAAATTTAAATTTTTATGAATATTATAATTTTTATAATATATTGTGAATATTCATTATTTGAGATTATTCATAATTATCAAAAGAATTGAAAATTAAGAAAAATAGTATTACGCGAATCAAAAAAAACATCTTTGGAAAAACTTTTTCTCGAGATACAATCGTAATTTGTCCCTCTTCTTCTCAATTAAATTTATTGGATTTCAAACTTTTCAATCGATTATTATGTCAAATGTAATTATACTTCTTCAATTTTGTGAACACTTATTTTTCAATCTTTTGTTTCAAATGTACACTCTTTGAAATTTATCATTGGTTTGCAATAAAAATGAAGATAAGAAGAGGAAATAACGATATAATTATATATAATATAAATAATGTTGCAAAAATTGGTTCAATGACGAGATATATTGAGCCAACTGTATAAACTAACCATGAGATTACATGTCTCATATCGTATTCGCGAATAGAATCAAGCAAAAGCCTCGACGTTGATAGACGAAGTTTATATTAGGAAAGTTTTTACGTTTTCCATCGAGCTAGGCTCATCGTTTTATCTACTTCCTCAATATAGTGTCGTGACTTGTTCGTATCAATCACAAAAATATAAATTATTTGGTTAAAAATAACATCATATTTTAATTTATTTAAATTATATAATATTGTATAATTACATATTGTAATTTATTTAGAAATCTCTTTAAAAATATTTGTTTCTTTATTATAAATTAAAAAAAAAATTTTAGTTACATTTAAAAAGTTTATTTCCATCTTTGAATTGATTTTTTAAGTCAGAATTCTATATCTATATCTATTAATACCATTTTTCTGTCAATTTATTATTCAATGAACGAATTAGTTTTTTTTCAATCAGTGTGTGAATTTCTTGCTCCTACATGACTAGAATAATATAAATACGTGTCGTTAATTATTGGAAAATTTTTTTAAAAACAAATTCTATTCAACATACAAAATTAATAAAGTATGTTGAAATTGAAAAAGAAGAAATGTTATGGAATGAACAATATAACATTCGTTTCTTCCTGTTGGTCAGAATGATCGATGAGGGTTCTGAATCTTTCTCTCATCCTTTTGCGGATGCATAGAGGTTAATAAATCAAAGAAATATATTAGAAACGTGAGAAGTTTCTTTAATCTATCTATTTAATCATTTATTTGAAAAATACTTTAAAGGTATATAAGTACTTTCATTAATTCTTAATTCTATTGTAACAAATAAAAAATCTCTATAAAACAATTAAAATATTAAATTTCCAAAATTTATAATTTCCTTATGTGAATTCAATATCGAATTTCATAAAATTATAATTCAAATAGATTTATTTCGATCAGCATTCCTATTATTTATTTCACAAATATTCGTAATTACATTAAAATAGCGAAGCATTAAGATTTCAGATTTGATTCGCAAACGAATAAATTAATTACAATTCCTAATAAATATTTCCATTTGCTTCTCGTAATTTACACAAGTGGTCTAGAGGACAGCACAGGACAAGTACAAACCGACAAGTTTTGTTGGTCGTTAAGTAAAAGGCCGTTCTGGCAATTGTTGCGATCGTTGATATCGAGTTACACTTCGTATGTGTACACTGTGATCTCACACATGCGCAGTTGTTGCTAAAGCATCCGTGACATAGAACGATCAGGTTAAAGTTCTTGCCAAACTCTCGTTAGACACAAGGAGAGGGATAGCGAGAGATTAACAAGAAAACAGATAAAACGAATAAACATACGCGAAAAGGGTAGCGATGGAACGAAGAAAAGAGAGAAATGGATACAGATAGAGAACAGATGGTATGTATTTTTACATTAAATATATTTTTAACTTTTTTTTTCTTAACCTTTTGTTCCTATCATTCAAAAAAATTTCCAAATTTGATTGATATTAAGTATTATCGTTATCGTGTTGAAACGTAAAAGAAATTATTTATATTAATAATCTCATTATTTAAAATTGCACAATAATTTTCATTTCTTTTTTTTTTTTTTTTCATTATCTACACACTTTTCTATCGTAATTATATTTTTGTAAATAACAATAATATAACAAATAATTGTAATTTCATTATCGTTTAATATATTATTTTCAAAAGATATAAAATAAATTTTCATAGTGAATTATTTATAAAAATTCTTGGATCGATTATAATTTTAATAAAAAATTTATTATTCAATTTCGATAGAATTATTATCGAAATATAAGCAAAATATGTATGCTGAATATTTCAGTACTTACCGATATTTTATAATTCGTGTTATATGCGTTGATTTATCATCTTGTTGAAAATAATGGTCAAATTAATTGCAGTTTTCAGATTTTCTCACTGAATTATTTCATGCTTGAAATATAACGATTGTATAAAATTAATTAAGAGAATAATATTTTGTATGATAATTATCAATTATCATAATAGGTAATGGAAAAAATAGAAGAATAACTTTTACCGAATAATCTGGAAACATTTTCATTCGTTCAATTAATTTTATCACGATCAACAATAAAGAAGGAATCAAAAGCAGATAATTTCTAATTTACTAAAAATTTATTTTTATCACATATAAAAGTAATTTACATGGCTTCGATACAACATTTAAAAAATGATTCGTATGTGTTTGAGCAATATTCTAATCGAATGACAATTAAATTCGATTTCCTCGAGGGTAAATCAATTCGTTTCCACGCGGTATTTCCTTTCATCATCGTAGCGTTTCGTAGTTGAGAAACTGGGTAATATCGTATTTATACGCCATATTGTCATATGGTTATTCTGTATGTATCAACAAAAAAACTTGTCCCCTAATAATATTTTAGAAAAAATAATCTTTCGAGAAGTTATCGAGGCAAATTTAACTAATCTTATCCACTACAACGCGTAACTTTTCGAAAATCGTCGAATATATCTTTTTTTAAAAAATTATCCAAGATGTAATTATCCAAGATAAAATTATGGAAGATCTAAGTCACGCAACTATTTTATAATACATCGTGGCTTCTCACATCTCTTCTTGAATTTTTTACATTACGGACACTACGGATTATCCCTTATTCTCGTTTATTTATTATAATTTTATACGAGTATTAATAAACTTACAATCATATCTCGCTTAAATTAATTAAATCAATTCTTAAAAATACTTTCCAGTTCAGCTTCGGGAGCCAAAGGACAGATTTTGTCTGAAACAGAATTGAAAATCAATTGTGATATCGTATTGGTACAAATAGTAAATCTTACATTTTAAATCATGATCACATAATATAAAAAAATATAAAAAGAAATAAAAATTTTAAAAAAATAAAAGAAACTATATCATTGAATGTGTTTTTTGTTTTCTCCATCGATTACCGAGACATAACTATTCAAAATGTCAATAGCGTTTCAGATGAGTTGAAAATTATGAATGGATTATATATTTTATTGATCTATATATTTTATGAATATACTATATACATCTCCAGCAATAGTATCTGTCGTTTGTCTAGGTATTGGGATAAGTCAATGAGACGAGAATATGATCGAAAGTATCGAATTAGTGACAAGAACGAGGATAACCAATTAAACATTTCTCTTTACACGACGATATCTCGGGAACCAATAGTCGTATCGATCTAAATCAAGATACGTTTTAAAGAGCAAGATTATGCGCTTCTAACGATTGTTCATTGGTTCATCGGACGTTACCATCCTCGAAGTTATAGCAATTCAAAGTTTTTGTAATTTTAATAAAGTTTAATGAAAAGGAAGCGTTTATTTCTGGAAAAATTATATACGTTCAATAGAATGTAGCGTGTACAAGTATGCAATATAAAGTTTCACAGAATAATTGTTTCCATCAAAATTATTACGACAATATAGATATTCCTTCCTCTGTATAGTTAGTTTCCATTCCAGAATATAAAAAGCTTAATTTTCGTTTTAGTTATTGTAAAAATGAAATAAAAATCAAAATACGATTTACAGATTCGTAATTAAAAAAAGTTGGATGAAAAAGATTTATGAAAAATACTTAACAGAAGTTTTTCAAAATTTCTCATCTCGCGTTCGTTCGATTTTTAAATTCTCTTCAAAATCTCCATTAACATTTTTTAAAATTATCATCGCGGCTAACAACATTTATCCGTATACTTTTATCGAAATATGTCGAGCTGTTTGTCGAGAGAGAGAGAGAAAGAGAGAGAGAGAGAGAGAGAGAGAGAGAGAGAGAGAGAGAGAGAGAGAGAGAGAGAGAGAGAGAGAGAGAGAGAGAGTGAGAGTGGAAAGCTTGTTCTCTATACAGAGCATGTGCTGGCGTGATGTAATTTCTACTCTGGCGAAGGTAGTTCGTAAAATACACGAGTTTCGACATTGTGCGCGCGCGTTCGTCTCGTAAATCCCGTTAGCCTTCCCCCCCGAGAAGTAATTAGTTCTCACGAAATTAGAGCAATAAATTTAATGAAACATACATCCATTGATTGAGATATTTCCACTTTCTCGCTCAAAGAGATTATATATAAAATTTTCTCCTTCGCTGATGGATTCTTTTGAAAGATTTCACTAGATAATATATCTCGAAGAAAATTATTTTATTTGCAAATCCAAAGAAAGATTACTTCAAGTAAGGTTATAAATTAATTGAAAAGAGGCAAAAAATTTTCACGTGGTAAACGTGATTTAAGATCTGTGAATAACATTTAAAGCATGTCTGATACAACGAGGATAAAAAGCGCACAAGGCCAATCCCCTCCCTTCTCGTTCAATGGTAACTGAATCGTTTTTTGCCTTCCGACTCTGGAGAGTTTCCTTTCAACTCGTTCGAAAACCGTGTAATGTGCTTTGATCCACGCACAGTTTTTTGCCAAATTTTTTTTTCCAAATTCTCTCTTTTTTTTCACGCTTTTCTTTCAGCCGATAGAAAAGTCCTCTCTTTCAGATTGAATATTTCCTGTTTCTTATTCTCCATTCTTTTTTTTTTTTTTCCATTTCTTTCTACTTTATATCGATCAAATGTTAATTTGAACATGTAATATTCTTTAATAGTTCGATTGCTATTATATAAAATTTATATAATATAATTACAATAATCCGGATGGACAAAATATTTGTTTGTACGATTGTTCGATGCAAATATGGCGGGGGAACTCCGTGAAAAACGTCGAGGGAAATTTATACACGATTTGTTCCAGTGGAATGGTATGTAAATTTATGGCGCGGGAATATAGTTTAAAAAATTCAAGCCGGCGACACGCGACATTTGAAAACGAATTGAAGTGAGGTACGCGGTTCCCACCATCAATAACATTTATGTTGGCCATGTAAATCCCGAGGCATCGGTTCAAAACGCGAAAATTCCACTGTGTATCTATTTATATACAAGATCGAAAGCGTGTATCGACTCGTCAAGTGGGATATTACGATAGAATTTCGAGAGTAACGAGTTGTACGAGGTGGAGAAGAAAGGAAATTTTTTTGGAAAATTATTTAGATAAATATTCGCGTGGAAAACATTTTTTATGAAAAATATTAGTACTTATTTCTTTGTTTCTCGAACAGAAATGAAGTTATAACGGGCGAGGAATCAAGGTTGTACGACGATGAAATAATTTAATATTGGATTTCGTGGTGCATGATTAGTAAACAGACGGTCTAAGTTTACTGTTTTCCACGATGTAAATCAAAACGTCTACTTTAATCGGTTTCCACAGCCGATTATTATTATTATTGTATCACGTAAATTTAATCAACCATGAAAATAATTATGCTTGGTAGCTTGTTGCGCGACGAGATACCGATCGACCATAATAAATAAATTTCGCGGTTTTAAATTATTAATTTGCAACGAGTAACGTGCGGCATGATCGGTTAATACAGCGAGAACGGGTATGGGCACATCGATCCGCCTTTATCACGAATAATTAATATTTTTTTTTCTCTTTTTCTCTCTCTCTCTCTC